GATAATACTTATCCGGTCCCTTGTCATAGGCTCCTACCAAATCATCGTCTTCTTCCTGAAAATTGGTGCCGCCATAGGCGAATACGGGATTGCTTACGGTATTTTGTAGCGCTGGCACACCATAACCATCGGTGGTCATCTCTTTGCCAACCGCACTACTCTCTTTATTGGCGGCATTGTTCTCCAAGCGATATTCACCGGGCAAACTCGAGGCGAGTATTTGCTCCATTTGCTCCTGCAGAAATTGATAGAGTGGCGGAGAGGTATCATTGTACGACAGTGGTGCCTCGTCTGCCACATATTGATTGTTTATGTAGGCGCTACGTCCATCTAACTCTTTGGTGCCAATCGGCGTGACCGCACGTCCTTCAACTGCTTGTTTCGGCATAGACTCGTCATTATCCAGCTGACTTTCGTTTGGAGTTATAATTGTGGTGTCTACAATAGTGAGCGGCGTTGTTGTTGATGTTGTGATGGTGTTCGTATTGACACTTGCTCTCTCAGGCGCGCCCGTGGTGGTGTTATTCACCAAAGTGGGCTCCAAAGCGGCTGCGTGCACTGCAAGGAGTTAGGAGTGTTAAAAAAGCATAAAATTTGCTACAAAGAAATCTAAGCAGAAATAGTGCCGCATGCATTTTCGCCTTACCAACACACATCAAGCCGAAGTATAGTGTTGCTGTAGTGATTTTTCGTGTAGCCATTCTGTTAATGCAGCACTGCGTCGACCTTGCGCATGCTTTTATACCGTTATCTTGTCGGCGTTCACTTCCTACTAGCAAGCACTTCAAAGAACCCAAAAGACTATGTCCATAAACAAAAAATATATATTTAGACTTTAGGCTACTTCTTTACCCATTTTGGTTGAAAGTACGTCTGTCTCGCAGCTAATTTTATTCTTTGCGGTGACCCTTCAAATTCTCGCTTCCATAGAAGTGGCATCAATAACGCGTAATGAGCGCCGCAACGTATCAAGTATCTTCGGGTTAGAAATTATTTTAATGAGTTGCTCGTTAAATATGTGAAGCGATCTTTAATGCAACACTTGAGAGACAATCAAAACAATCAAAGTGCCTCATCATGTTTTAATCACTCTTTAGTGCAATGCACAAGCACTGATATAACTTAACAGTTGGCATAGAAAATTAGATTGATATAAAGGGTGCTTTCTTGGAGACATGGAACTTTAATTTCATAAGCAAACCCAGATATTAACTTTACCAAGAGAGTCTAGAGAGTTTCACTTTCGAAAACCGCAAAAACGGATTTCTGTAATCGTTAAGGGTAAAATTGTTTTTGACAGTTTATTTCACAGAACGCGATTTTTCGAAATAATTTTCATGATTTTTGAATGACTCCATTATAAGAGTTTATTTGGTATTTTCTCCGATTATGAAGTATGCAGCAAAATACATGTCAAATTATGTGTTTACTTTGGCAACTGGTTTGACAGATGAACCAACTGAACTTTTTTTCATTAAAAAATGTGTTGAAGTTGTATTCCACTGAAAAACAAACACCCTATATATGTATGTGCCACCGTGTGTCGAATTGTATATGTTTGTTGGTCCGTCACTAGTGGATTGTGGGCGGACGCAGCGCAGCGGTAATGAATGTGCAATGAAAGAAAGTATGTAGTGTGGTACTAATGAACTAAGCACTACCGACTTCTGTATAGCCTGGGGCCTTGATTTTGCTTTCGGTGGCTCATTAGTTATTATTATTGACTTTACTTTTTAAATTAAGGAAATGGAGCCGACAATTACTAGATTAATAAAAGAAAGTTAAACTTTTTGAAAGATTTTTGTCTGTTACCTAAATGTATACATACATACATATGTGGTGTATATGTAAGTAAAGAAGAGATACGGAATTCAAGAGAGAGAATGGCGTTTAGTTCGAAATGAATTTTGTTTTTTTCGAAATGTAGAGGAAAAATCTTTACTTTTTTTGAAAGATAGGAAACAACCTTTTTTATTCTCAAACTAGAGGACCCGTCCACGTTTTACTGTGGCTCATACACAGATAGTACTACTATCCAGTCCAATCGTCAGTTGGCTGGCATTCATCGACTGATAATTGAGCCACTTATAATTCATTGCACTGCGTATTTGGTACCAGTTCTATTTTATTATTCCAAATATTCAGCAATTGTATTATTTTTGAGGAAGGATCAGTTAGAAACTACGCACATACTTCATATCGTTTCCGTTCCGTTTAAATATTCCTCGTTAGAAAGCTCCGAGCTTATGTGATATCCATAAGATATGGATATATACCAGCGCGGAGTTTCTGTAGACCTTTCAATGTGTACAATACTTAGGACATTGTTTTAATAAAACTCGTAGTTAATTATTTACGACATCCCATTATAAACCTCAAAAATAACAGTATTTCTTCACTATTTATTGGATGCTATAATACATATAAACCTTCCCTTTCAATCACTTTATCTGTTAAAGAAACCCGGATCAAAATCCGTTGCGTAGTTTTAAAGATTTAAGCATACAAAGAGACGGAAAAAGTGACATAAATTTAACTTTTTAACTAGCGATGAGTGTCTTTGGTTCAAATATCGCCTAAAATAGAATGATTTTTTTTTGCCAGACAACGTCTGACCTGAGCTATTCTGACACGAAAAAGTTACTGATCGCATCGATTTGGAAATTTGGTCAAATTTCTAGTGAAAGTTTCAAGGTTGTGAAAGTCAAACTTTTAAGTGTTTTCTGCCATGAAATATTCTTCAGACATTCAAAAACTTCTCAAAACCTATATGACCACTTAAGTGGCAAGCGAATTCATGGTAATAACAGTTGTTTTAATGTCTTTTTTAATTCCTTGTTATACGCAGAGTTTTAGTTTTTAATATTTATCTCTGTTGAAGAAAACACCACCTGCATCATAGAGATTAGACCCAGCTGGAATGATTTAGATGTACTGACAACTTCACTAAGTATTCAATTCTATTTTATACAAAAAATTATCTCAGTCACCGATGAGTTTATTGTCCAACTATTAAGTAAAGGAAAAGCAACCGATGATGAATTTAAACTAAACTAAACTAAACTTAACTTTAAACAACTCTCTTTAATGCTCTTTAATGAGGTCAGAGAAGTTTTAACAATTAAAGATATTTTGATAGTAAACTTGTGGAATAAATGAATGAAACTGTTAATGCAACATTATACAATACAATTATGTCTCACATTCGAAGATGACCGAAGACACAGCGAAAGACTGAAAACAGGTGATATACGTCTATAAGTTTATACTATGTATGTATGTATATCTAACTACATTGAAAGTGTTTTATTAATGCCTTACATTTGAAACCTTTTATTTCAATTTTCCTTAGTTAACTTAATCGAACCCAGATTTACCTCAATTTATTTTTTCACTTAAAAAATAGACGTCTATTCCTCGAAGTCGTTTTTTTTAATTACATATATGAAATATTATTGAAATCAAGTAAATGTCAGATTTTATAATATTTTAGATCGAGAATAATTATGTACCGTATTGTATGACAAAGTAATTATTTCGATGGTTTCAAAAATGTTTACCACATTAGCCCTTAAGTTCAAGGCAAGACGAAATATCGCTTGTGATCAAACAAACAGTCGTCCCACTCGCGATTTGGCTTCGTCGTCACAGACATAACTTCGAAGTCGTAGATAATTGAATCTATCTTAGAACCAGTATTAAGCAACAACAATGTCAGTATCGAAATCCAACGTAAAAATTACTCTTGCCAACAGGTGCTACTTCGGACTGAGTAGGCAATTGAGCAATAAAGTCCTCTTTCGACGAACAAAGACTGAACTTTATATATCACTCATTGTTACCGTTCTGCTATATGGTGCAGAGGCGTGGACAAGGACTACATCTCATGAGTCGACGTTGCGAGTTTTCGAAAGAAAGGTTATGCGGAAGATTTATGGTTCTTTGCGCATTGGCAACGGCGAAGTCCGCAATCGATGGATCGATGAGCTGTACGTGTTATACGATGACATTAACATAGTTCAGCGAATTAAAAGACAGTGGCTCCGCAGGGTAGAACGGAATGAATCAAAATACTTCAGCTCTCAGAGTATTCGACGCAGTGTAAATACCAGGTGGAGAAGGACCTGTCTACACTTGGAATAACCAATTGGCTACAAACAGCGAAGAGGAAGAACTACTGGCGCGCAGTTGTAGACTCGAAGAATAAATATTATATTTGAATTTATTTATAAATTTTTTAAAATAGTAAGCAACTTGCTATGATTTCAAGTTGTCTATTTATTTTGATAGCCTCGTGCACAAGATTTCTCTGGTTAGTCTACTAATTTAAATTATTTTCAGGACTTTAATGCTAACAGTAAATATCCTTTGTGCTGATACTGGTTCCAAAGGAATCATTTATCATTTGAGTGGAGCTGATGTTTTGTTTCTATTTTTTATTTAATTTAGGGGGGAATGTACTCACCTGCCAAATGATTGATGTGACTGATCCGGAGGTATGTATATTCGAACTATGATTTATTATATTATGTATAAGTAATTATAAAAAATATTTTTTTTTTATGTTATGTAAAGCGCCTTTGAAGCTATTATTCTTCTGACCTCTTTTTGACTTTTAAGTGCTATAGTCATCTTGAAAATCAGTTTGTTGGCGATATGATTTATCAATTTTCGCAAAAAAGTTTGAGAGCACACAGTGCCTTATGACGATTTCACAAAAAACAACTTGTAAATTCACACTTCTTATATTTTATATGGATTTTTTAGCGTACACCTGAGGTTTGATTGATGGTCGTGCTTTCATTGGCCACATTTCGCTCAAATGTTGGCGAAAGATGGTTACATATGATTTTATTTTGGTTTCAATTTTTCAATGTTTCGATAATATTTAAGATATTCGCTACTCTCTTCGAAAAAGAACCTAAATAAAATAGCTAAGCTAAAAGTGTATGTGTTCCCTCCAAGCACCTTTATTGCATAGAAATTAAGCTCTATACAACTTGTGGCTTTCTCAACTTCAAAGTAATAAATATTTATTCGCTAATATATGTAGGCATAAGTACATTTGTAGTGTATAATATAATGTTCTAAAAATATCAAAAAAGGAATATCACATAATTATGCCTGCGCATAATTATTTCTTAACAATTACCGTGGCAGCGTTACTGCCAGCCACGGGTACAGCAACACCAACTGTTGGCTTCAAGTGAGCGCTCTCAACAGGTTTGTTTACATTATTCTCCACTACTGCTTGTGCAACGCTCGTTTTAATAGGTTTTGCTGTTGTGCTGATTTCCTTCACGGGTTTAATGATCGCGGTGTTTTCCTGCATACGATTTGCCTGAACTGGTTTCGCGTTGGGCGCTTGCACGTCACTTTTCACTATCGTACTGATGGTGGCGGCCTCGTCCAAAGCTTCCGCCTCGGCGGCTGCAATTTGATGACCTATTTTGTCCAATGTCTGCAATGCTACGTCTAATACAGCATCGTCCTCCTCAGAAGATGAGTTATCTTCTTCTTTTTTCTTCTGTACTGTGATGGTTTTGGTGTCTTTGAAAAATGGTGATGTTTTGAATTTGCGTTCAGCATATGCCACCTCTTTGGGATGCGTCTTTTGGCACTCCTCATAGCCGACTTCCAACCACAATCCATGCGTACGACACTTGGCCACATTTAACTTGCATTTATTGTAGAACACAGCCAGTTCACTAGGCGTTTTACCGCAGATCGGTTCGTACGGCTCTACACAATCATCGTCGCAGAGAAAGCCCTCTTGCAACACCGCAGCGCTACCACTTATGGCCGCCGTATTGGCTTTGGTGCAAGAGGCACCTTCACAGGCAAACCAAGCAATCGGTATGCCCAGGTAGGGTGGACTTCGTAGTGCTGCCGTAGCGTTCATTGGTAGGAAGGTACGTTTCACATAGTAGCCGTGTTCCTCGGTGGCAAGCTGTGCGCTATTGTGTCCCAAGTCGGTGGAGGTGGACCATTTGGTTTTGGTTTTGGTGTTACTTGAAGGTGCGCCACTGTACGAGGATCTGCGTTTTTTGTGTTTTTTGGCCTCTCCGCTGGTGATGGCGAGCAAGACAATGAGCACTGAAAGCATGCAAATTTAGTTAACGATTTAACTAGGAAGCACAAGAAACTTACCCGAAATAAAAGTGAATTTGTAAAACTGCATATTTTTGCCTTGGTACGCGATTTCGAATGAGTGATGCGAGTGTCTGGCGTGTAGGAAAGCACTCGTGTAACAGCTAACTTTACGTAAACACAGGCGCTATACAACTGCGCTTGCTAGCAAGCCGCGGGCTGCTTAAGTAACTTAAAGATACGTGAACTTGTAAGAGCGAGGTGAAATACAAAATAAAAAAAGGTGTTTAACTGGGAATTCTTTTAGTGTCTTCTTCTTGACTGGTTTGGTGTTTTTGTTTTCTGGTATCTTCGGTATCACTCGTCGGTGTGCTTACCGCACAGTTCCAGCTGTGGTTGCGGCTGCTACTGTTTGTTTCTCCGCTTTCTCGTTGCGTGTGTGTAAGCCGCCGCAGTTCGCTTGGGTGAAATTTGAATGCGCGTCTGTCGTGTTTGTGGTGTGCGTTCGCTCGTCAGCTTCCTAGAAGTTTCAGCTTCTTAATGTTTTGAACAAACAAATATCGAGTGGAGATGCGATTTATTGCGTTGAGTATGGTGGCAGCCGGTTTTTTGGTAATTGGGTCATTTGATTTTTATTTTGATTCGCTTGAATTATTCCCCTTACGGTATTTTGTTTACAGTCACCAGAAAAAAAGTTGTATACTTCAAGAAGTGTTTGAGAGAAATTGAAATGCTGTTGTTATCAAATTTTTTTTATTTGTTGAAAAGAAATTGTATAAACGATGGATACTTGTACTTGAGCCCAGTTGAAGTGCGTTACTTTCACCGAATCGCGTCACGTTTCTGCAAAGTTAAACTTCGCCAAATTTGATTCTTAAATTACCAGTGGCATGAAGAATTGAGTTCTTTAGATTATTCTCAAAGTTAATGGTTTATTTCTCGTTTTACAGTTAAGCATATCTGCTCTCAGAATATTATATTAACTTAAAATATCAAATATTTCCCACTTATTTATTGCCTTCTCAATGATGAAGGGTTCACATTAGAAGAACGAATATAAATTAGATTAGAGGCGAGCGATTTTCATAGGTAGTAAGCCTTGAGAAAACTTTTCCAAATTAAATTTTATAAAAAATAAGTGAGGTGTGACAGAAAGACGAGTCGCCAAACTTTGCACGCAATGTCAAACCTTGGGTGTCTTGATGGAAAATAGAGATCATCTGTGTCGATTCCATCAAATTCCGAGAACCTTGGTCAACATCGTGTTGCAGCGCTTACTGGTATTTGCTGCCTCTTTTCGGAAGAAATAATTCCCGATGATGCCGCGTTGCCACAATCCGTACCAAGCGGTCAGTTTTCGGAGATGCAATTGCGTTCCTGAACCACATCAAGATTTTATTCACCCCAATAGCGACAATCTTTTTTATTGACGAAGCTTATTTTTCTCTTACAGTATCCACAGCAGAACATTAATTTGCGTTATAATCTTGGAATTTTTCCAAGCGTTCTACCAAAGTGAAAGGTGACATGATGAAATGACAAACCTTACTGAACACAAACAAATTAGTAAAAATTGAAAAAATTGTAGACAACTTCGTAAACAAACATATAGAAGTATTTATACATTTATACATTTGTACTTTTTCGAGTTTCTTTTTACATTTTTGATGCATTTTTGGTTGGAAGTTAACTGAGAAACTGTGAATTCTACCAGTTTTATTTAATTTTAAGACACACTTTGCTTTGTCAGAAATGCGACTCCTGTTATAATATTTTGTTTTACTAAGCATCGGTGTAAAGGGTTATAGTCATACTCCTGGAACATGAAATAGAAAAGCTTGTATATGAAAAAAGTCGTGCAAATAAATCGCTACTCTTCCGCTCAGCTTCAATTGAAATCTGCTGTACGTAAATTAAAAGAAACGTCAACGACAGTTTTTTTGCTTAATTTGAAAGTACAATGTATTGTGAAAATTGCTTTCAAATCTTAACAGGCTGTTATATACACTTATAGTTCTCGTCAGTACTAACGAAAAATTTTTTTCACTCCTAACTTTTTATTACAACCCTTTCTTTACTTACATTATATAAAAGGACTCTGTTTTTTAAAGTCCGCCATTTTGTTATTTACCCTTGAAATTTAACTTCAGTAGTTTTTTTTGAGATTCCAACTTGGAGTGATAATAATAATAGTAATAAAGTATTAAATTTTTCCAAATAATTTTTTTTTTTCAATATGTAAATTAAAACACTCCAAATATTCTAGATAATTCATTTTTATTTTCCTATAAAAACCCACCCTCCAAAGAAGAAATAGGCATAAGTTACCAAACTACTACCATAAACGCTAGGAAGAATTCAACACTAAAATGTACATACTATATATAAAGAAGCTATGTTCAAATTAAAGCAAGCGCAATTCCGTTTGGAAAGCCTAAAAGTCCATGAAGCCACCAATTGACTCCAAAATGCCTTAGACTTGGGAGAAAAGGTATTTTAACCTAATCGATCAAAGGACAACTTAAAGCTTTCCAGCTTACCCAAGCTAACGAGTCACTCGAGTCTTTTAAGACTGAAATGATTGGTATCATCAAAGAACTAATTCCAAAAAAGTCGCTGGGACATGATAATATTTCCCCAAATATGCTAATTAAGTTACCAAATATCGCTGTAGAGGTGCTCTCTTTGCTTTTCAATGTAATTCTGAGTTTCGGATACTATCTAAATTCATGGAAAAAGTCGCAGATTAACTTGATAGATGGACTTAACACAGCCGTCTTCATACAGACCAATCAGTCTTTTACTCTGTCTTTCTAAAATATTTGAAAAAGTGTTACTATCAAAGATGTCTCCTTTCCTCCAAAATAATATAATACCAACTCACAGGTTTCGTGCAAAATATGACACAACAGAGTAGTAAATAAAATTACTGCCTTTACAATTGCAGAAAACATTGGAGTCTTATTAAAATATTATAATAGACAATTTATGGTAAAAGTGGGAGACCATATCTGTTGAACGACAGATAAGGGTTGGTGTAGCACAGGGTAGTGTTTTAGGAATAACTCTATACATCGTATGTATATACAGTAGATCTTCCAACAGCTAATAATATTGACATCAACTTTCGCGGATGACACAGCTTTAAAGAGCCGTAATGCTACATAATAGCATCAATAATATTGGTCGATGAATTGATAGCCAATTGGCGCTTAAATGTGAATGAACAAAAGTGTAAGCATGTTACATTTTCGCTAAGACCAAAAATATGCTCAGCAGCAAAACATAATAACTTGATAACTTGCATGAAGATAGGAGCTCCAAATTTAAATTGGCTTTTATATAAAAACTCTATATTTAGAATAGAACCAAGTTCCTTTTACTATAATAATGCGGTCATAAAGCCGCATTCAACTATGGCAATCAACTGTGTGGTACGACTAATATTGATATAACACAAAGGTTCCAATCAAAAATGTTCAGGACAATCACGTGTTCACCATGGTACATGCGAATTAAAAATATCCATAAAGATCTTGGTATTCCTATGGTTAAGAAAGAAATATAGGACATCGGAATGAAATATATTTCTAAACTCCGAGATCATCCAAACCATTTGACATTCCTGCGAACGAACATGTCGTAAAAGAAGAGATATGCATGTCTAGTAAAGAGCAACGTATTACCAAAACAGCTCAATCACTTGCTTGAGCTTATTAAGTTTTTGAACACATATTTAAGATAACTTATTGTTAGGATATTAAAACAATAAGCAGATCAAATAAATAAAGAAATATTGCCGATGCCTAGCTGTTGATGTCCTCATACAAGTAAAGGCATCAGAGAAAAATTTTTTAACATAACGTTGATTTGCGGCCACACACCGAGGAAAGAGAAGGACGATATGAGCACGCTTATAACAACAGCCTCCTCTACGATGTAAAATTTGTGCTTGGTAATTTTAACAGCAGGGTGGGCAAAGAAAGCATCTTTGGTAAAACAGTCGGAAAACTCAGCCTCCATGGCAAAACATCTCCAAATTGGTTGAGGCTGATCGACTTCGCAGGAGCACGAAATATAGTTCTCTGTAGTACCAGATTCCAGCACAAGAAAATACATTAAGTTACTTGACTGTCTCGGAATCGAAAATTTCGAAAACAGGTGTATCCAGTGTCCATTATGTGCGTATACTTCGAGAATCTCTTGTTGTAGCGAAGATACGCGCTCGCCTCTGTACAGCAAACCACCCCAAATTGTGATCTAGTGGCTAATGTTCAGAGCATACTGATTTTATAGAGGGCATATTTCTGCAGCCTGCTTAGCGGCAGTGATAGTGTAACGATGGAATAGATGTTCCATTGCCCGACTATGATGAGGTTTGAATAGCATCTACACGTCTGAAGAAAAACAAAGCGGCAGGGCCGATGGATTACCAACCGAGCTGATGGTCGGATAAAAGATTGGAACTTAAGGGGGTTCGGCCCAATCCACAAAAAGGGGATCACAAAATCTGCGCCAATTACCGTGGGATAAGCCTCCAATATCGCATATAAATTCTTATTGATCGTAGGGTGTGAAAGACTGAATCCCTCCGTCAAACAAACTGATTGGTTTAGACCGAAAAAACCTACTATCGACCAGTTTTTCACAAAGCGCTAAATCTTGGAAAAGACCCGTGAAAGTGTGTTTTTACTTAGTATCCCTGCAAAGCTAATATAGCTTTGTAAACTGGCGTTGGTAACCCCAAAAGCTCCGCTAGTATCGGGAGGAAGCCATTCGAAAATAATACGAGGTAAAGAGCTGAAGAGAAGGTACCATCTTCAATAAGAGCGCTACAGAAGTTTTTTTTTTTAAATAAAACAAAAACGGTTTGGGATGTCAATGAAATTCTTTATTCCTGAAAAGTACATTCGATGCCATTATGTATGGAATTCGATTTCTTTTGCATGACCATCACGGGCATGCTTGCAGAAGTCCAAGCTCTGAACCCAATTTTCGACGGGTTTCAATCATAAATCGGTCGATAATGTTACAATTTCACGTTCGACATTCCTACGAAGTTCATTGGTCCTCGCTGGCTTGTTGGAATAGGCCTTAAACTTAACGCGTCCCCACAAGAAATAGCTCAACGGCGTCAAACCGCTCGACCGAGGCGGCCAATTAACTGGCTAATTTCGTATGAACCGCATCTAACAGTAATTTTTTTTGGTATACAATGGTGACTCATGGAGTACATGTGGATTTCTACCTGACCAATAAATCATATTTTGCTTATTGACGAAGCCATTCTATCAGAAATGATCCCCATCACTGAAGATGACTTTTCGATGAAAATCTGGATAATTTTCAAGTTGTTGCTCAGCCCAATTCACGAACATAGGACGATTCTGGTGGCCAAGCGCCTTCAGTTCTTGCGTCAATTTGATCTTGTAAGGATATAGGCCAGGACCTTTTCGCAAAATTCGCCACAACGACATGATAAAATGGCAAAAATTTCTGAAGAATGGAAAAAAATAGGGCGTGGTTTGGTGTCCCTATCGGGCTACTTTTGTACCCTATAGAAAAACCAATTAAGAGTGTACATCTGTTGGCGTACTGCGATGATATTGATATCATTGGCCTCAACAACCGCCGTTAGTTCTGTTTTCTTCAGACTGGATAAGGAAGCTAAAAGGAAGGGTC